CCTTTACTCCCAAAAATTTTCCCTACTATATCTCTCTCCCTCTTCCTTAGTTTCTTTTTCTCCGCCACCATGAAATGACTTTATGTTGCGTGGGAGCTAACACTGAACATCCTTCCTAGTCACCACGCATCTATGAAAATTCGTCACTGTTTTCTATTATTTATGTCTAAGTGAAGTAGTGTTTGCGTTACCTCTCAGCCATCGACTTCATTGGAGGACTGTTACTCGGGACTTTTTGTAAATTCCTCCATACTGAATTCTGTGACAGGTACTATACAAAGGTTTTTTTGAAGTGTTATTTTATAACTACTTAGCCCAGAATTCCTCACCCAATTATTTCGGACTTTTTTATATTGTGCCTCACAGGAAGGAGGAATGACCTGTTCTTTATTGAATAAAATCTTCGCAATGGACATTTGAAATTTAATCTAACTTTCAGCGGCGGCAAAATCACTGAATGATGAAGGATGTTTGCTTGATGCCAGAAAAACCAGCCTTTGAAATGTCTAATTATAGGTTTGTGGTGTAGCTCTTCTACAACAATGGATCTTCTACAACAAAGTGGACAATACGTGTAAAAATAAGAGTTGAAATAAGCAAAGGCTCATCCTGACAGCGTTCTTTTAGATACCTTTATCAGGCTGAATAGTTTATAGGCAAATATTGAGAAGATAATTTCGGAACGCTAATATTTTAACTTTTTGCCATAGAAGTAGAAGTTGAAATTATGTATGCAAGAATGAATATTGAACAGGTTTAACTTATAATCAATCTTTTGTTTTTTTATCGAGGAGGTGAAACACTTAAATCAGGAGTTTAATGGAACAAATATTCGGGCAGAAACCAAGTTCAATTCAATCGTCCGCAAAAAAACTTGACTCAAATAAATGTAGACTGGACATACAATTGAGACCTGAGGAAAACGTTCCCTTGAACTTCAAGCTCGACTAACCTAGATTCGGTAATTGTGTGTAACTGTCAGTGACGAATAAGCCAGTATCCGCTGTAACGTAGCAATTATATAGAGTTCACGGGTGCAACTCCGCGCCGCCGTAGCGATCGCTGTACACTGTGCGCTGTACACCGTGCACTGTGCGCTGTGCACTGTGCGCTGTGCACTGTGCGCTGTACACTGTGCGCTGTACACTGTGAGCTGTACACTGCACACTGTGCGCTGTACACTGTACACTGTGCGCTGTACACTGTGCGCTGTACGCTGTGCACTGTGCGCTGTGCACTGTGCACTGTGCGCTGACTGTGCGCTGTACACTGTGCGCTGTACACTGTGCGCTGTGCGCTGTACACTGTGCGCTGTACACTGTGCGCTGTACGCTGTGCACTGTGCGCTGTGCACTGTGCGCTGTACACTGTGCGCTGTACGCTGTGCACTGTGCGCTGTGCACTGTGCACTGTGCGCTGACTGTGCGCTGTACACTGTACACTGTGCGCTGTACACTGTACGCTGTGCGCTGTACACTGTGCGCTGTACGCTGTGTGCTGTACACTGTGCACCGTGCACTGTGCGCTGTATACTATACACTGTACACCGTGCACTGTGCGCTGTACACTGTACACTGTGCACTGTACACTGTACACTGTACACTGTGCGCTGTACGGTGTTCATGTAGAACGTGACTCGATCCCATGACGCTTGGTCTCCGTCGAAGGCCGTTCAGGACTAGGGCTTCGCACTTTATAACTTATATCGCAATTAATTTAGGGAAATCAGAAATTTTAGCTAATGTTCACGAGATAATAATTATTGATACTTTTTTACGTAAAAATTCCATGATGTTTTGCCCTCAGTTAACAAGCTCCCGTGGATTACATTTGATTTTTTTTCTATTTTTTCATAATGACCAGTTCAGATATACTGTCTGTCCGGCTGAGGCGGAATTATGGAGGAGCCTTTATTAATCATGTTGACGACACAGAAAATAAATAACTCTGCACGACGAAATTAAAATAAAATTAGAATCCGCTGTTGTTAGGACTAAAACATGCTAGTTTAGACTAAAAACAAAACACAAAAATTGGTCTATATTAATGCCGCAAACGAACTCATTTATATAAATAGTTTTGAATAGAAATTTATAACGGAATGCAGCAGTCATTGAATGGTTTAATATTATTAGTGAACACGAGTGGTTAATGACCAGAGAAATCATTGATTTAAATTTTCAGGATCGAACAATATTCTTCAGTGGACGTTGGTTGATAAAAATTCAGGTTCAAGGAAGTAATTTAATTTATTAACGACGTTTCGAATGTGACATCATTCATTTTCAAGTTATAGGAAGCATTGAATACTGAAATTTTGGCGGAAATAAGTACATGATACACGTAAATATGATACAACACGAAAATTTGGAACCGCGAAAATAATTCCGAAACAATCTCAAAGTTCAGAAAATCCGGTAG